GTCATTCAGAGATATCTTCTCTGAGCTACAAGTTGTTTGTGCCTTTTCCTCTTTAGAGCCTCGAGCATTACAGCCTTCCTTTTGTTTCTTCATTTCATTCTTTGACAGGAATTTGGCCTACCATCAGTGTGCTGGCTGTGCATGTTGTTGACAGGTTTCCTCATAGAGGCTTCCTTTCTGTAGCCTTCTGACTTCCTGGTCTTACCCATAAGGCAGTGGGGGTAAAAAAATAGAGGTTTTATGGCACCCCTAACTTATCCGTAAGGTCCTTCCTTTGGAAATGTGAGGCATTTGACCAGGACATTTGCACCACCAGGATGACCCACCTTGTCCTCTGTGACCTTATGACATTTGGTCCACGACTACTTATGCAGGCAAGCCCTTATTCACAGCTAACCTCCTAAGAGGACGTCCCACTATCCCCTACCTTGTGGACACGCTGAGTAGGAGATGTCACACACCCCAATCCCTTGAAATACTTTTTGCCAACTGTACCTTTGCGTGCAGAACTTTAAGTTCTTCACTAAGCCCCACCACCACTTCAAGCAATTTACATTTCTCCCTTTCCACCTCTGCAACTGTACCCAAAAACACACTCCAATGTCTCCTCTAACCTGAACACCCTGCAAATAAATTGTATATTCTGGCTACTAGCCTCTCTTTAAGTACACTTTAACCCAGAGTTTACAAATGAAACACTCTCCTGGCATCTATGACACTTTATCAACTGAGAACTCTTAATAGCTAGACTATTCTTCATCATAGCTGATAATTATATTGACTGTAATTTTAAGTGTGAAATGTAATGAAGTTAAGATTATATTTAATGTGCTAGTACTAGTATTACTATTAGTACTAACATGTAAGAAGTTTGATCTAACTTCACTAGCTTACTGTATTAAATATTCAACACTAATCTCTGTATACAAATAATAATATAATAGGTTATAGATATTATAAGCACACTCCTGTCTTTAACCAAAAATTAAAATAAGCCTAATGACACTAGCAAACGATTAACTATGTGTATTTGTAATATGATTTAAACTTAATTTATATACAATTTTTACATTAAATATCAATACTTATCACAAATTAACTTTAAGATATCTATTACTAAACAGCTTTCAAATGACAACTATTAAATTTTATTTAAAATAAATGCCTTATCAGTTTAAAAAACTAACCACTAAAATTTAACTTTAAGCCTAAAGTTAATAGTAAACGAGTAACTTTGTAATTGTAATCCAATTTAATCTTAATTTAAATACACTTTTTGTTTAAAATATCAATACTTATAACAAATTAACTTTACAATATCTATTTCTAAACAACTTTTGAATGATACCTATTAAATGTTATTTAAATAAATGCCTTATATCTTTTCTTAACTCTGCAAAAAGACTTCCTATCCCTGTCAATGCAACTCAGGTGTACAGAAGAATGCGGTTATTACTGGAGTATATAAGATATTTTTTATGAAGTTTTCTATGAATATTTTGGCAGTGCAAGCCATTTGTAATTAATAAGCACATAGGAAATGTTAACTTGAAAGCTTTCCGAGATACCGTCTTTACGGTTAATGAGAATACTGTTTTATAAAGACCAGAAACTGTAAGACTCAGTGTACTGTTTATCTTCATATGATATTTTACCTATAGAAACTAATGGTGATGATTAATATATGTCATTCATTCCTTCAGTGATGAGATCTATGCTCAAATATGTAAACAACTAACCAACAACCCCAACAAAAGTTCTCATGCTCGAGGGTGGATTCTGTTGTCTCTGTGTGTTGGCTGTTTTGCTCCATCTGAGAAGGTAACTTGGTTTTCAAAACGTAATATTATTTTTAGCTTTATATATTTCTTGTTTATGTTTTGATATTTCTGTTTCTGCTTTAATTGTTTATTATAAAACTCATATTTTAAATATTTTTATTGATGGAAAAAGACTACTTAAAAGCAGTTTTTAATAATAATAATAATAATACACAGTTGTATGTTGTAAAATATTATTAAAGCTTTATTCAACTGTTTAAGTTTTGTAAGAAAATGGTTTTGTTTAATGAGCAGGCATCTTCTACCATAGGTAGTCGAGTGGAAAAAAATATCTTGTAACATTTCCATCAATCTAATGTTTGTCTTCTTTAAAATATGAATCACTTGTTTAAATTATTAAACAAGATTATTTCAGAGTATGTTCATGATGTAAAACATTATTTTAATTTTCAGATGGATCTTTTTTTTACAACATTTTTACTTGAACATCTCTTTCTGTTATTCAGTAAAAGGTGTAATCATAAAGCTTTTTTTTTCAAATAAAATATTAATATGTTAATCTTCTGAAAGAATGTCCTGTGTAATAATCACTGATTTATTTATATGTAGCAACAATAAATATAGACCGGTGTATGGTTTCTAAGGATATCGGTTGTAGTGCTTTATTTTTATGATGCTTTCTCATTATGTTTTTAGTTTAAAGCTTAATTTAAGATGTTCAGTTCTAGTCTTTGCTTTACTCTCTTTGCAACACAGTATAATTAACGGTGATTAAAAAATACTTGTGATGTTGTGATGTTTCATTTGCAGAGACTATTTTATGCTCAAAATTTTCTTTTTTGAATATGAAAACAAACAAATTAAGGTTCATAAATTAAAATGGATTCTACACAAAATATATACAGTCAAGAAATTGTGTTACTAAGATGAATGGAGATACTTTGCATTATATTTCTAAGAAATATAAAAAGCACTCCATTTATATTTAGTAATTCTGCTAAGACCTTGGAAATTTTTTAAGACTATGAATTTATTCATTGTTAAATTGTACATCTCGCTTTTATGTTACTGTTAGCATGCCATACTGTGGATTTAATGTTCCATGGTTCATGTGCCATCACTGCCAAAACAAATCACACTTTGTACTTTGGGGCCATGGATGCATTATAAGAGTGAATGTCAAATCCCACTATTCAGTATGACAAGAGTAGCCTAAGAATTAGTGGTAGGTGGTGTTGACTAGCTGCCCTCAAGTTTATCACTTCAAAATTGGGGATAGCTAGCACAGGTAACTTTAGCTTTGCAAACATATATATAAATATATATATATATATTTATGAAATATATCTTTGAAAAGAAAAGGTAGAAATAAAAAATTCTGAGATTGTATTAAATCTATATTATGTTGTACAAAAACAACATTGGGGATTTTTGATGTAGATCTAATCCTCAAATATGTCAATTTCATGATCAGCATTATGTATATTTTCAAATTTTGTTTGAAGTTCTGTTGTTTCAGTCTTTAATTTTAGAAACTAATTTTTATTAGCAAAACATGAATCACTAAGCTAAGCTTCTGGTAAAAGATATTGTAATTGTTATAAATATATGGGGCTGTGAGTGATTTTGTACAACTTTATTAAAGCTGCAACATTCTCTTGTTATCATGTTCATTGTGTAAATATGCACTCCTGTCAAAATACCTGTTACAAGTTGTAAAAAAATTGAGTAATGTTTTATGGTTGAAGAGAAATTTTTTAAATTTTGTATTCTTTTTTTTTTTAATTTAATGTGCTTCACTGTTTAGTGAGAGTTTTTTTATTTACATTGCTCTTTTTCTTTAATTTGTGTAGTTTGTTAAGTATCTTCTAAACTTTATACGAGAAGGCCCACCTGGTTATGCCCCTTACTGTGAAGAGAGGTTACGTAGGACTTTTATGCATGGAACACGTGGTCAACCTCCATCCTGGTTGGAGCTCCAAGCCACCAAATCAAAGAAACCTCTCATGCTACCCATCACATTCATGGATGGTAACACTAAGACATTGCTGGCTGATTCAGCTACTACAGCCAGAGAACTATGTGCTCAGTTATCAGACAAGATTGGCTTACAGGATCAGTTTGGTTTCTCTCTTTACATTGCCCTTTTTGACAAGGTCATTGTTTGATAGCATTTCACATTTTATATAATATAATTGAGCCATTTTTTAAAAATATTTTTGTAAATAGGTAAACCAACTTCTACTTAATATGTTAGGAATATTAGACACTGTATAAGAACACAGATGGTTAACCTTTACAGAAAATTGTAATTGATTAATTTAGTTTTTGACATAAAAAAGCCTTTTTTTGGTAGAATTTAAACATAGCCTACAAATAGGATAATCTATCATTATGAAGTTTTTTAGGAAATATAAGATTTCCTGTGTCGTACAGTGGTTCCTAGAGTATGATAACAGTTTTGCTATAAGTGGTATACTGGCATCTTTTTGATGAAATACAGTAATTTTCACAAACTTACAGAAATCACATCATCAGTTTAGTACACAAACAGTTAAAATACTATAACTTACCTCATTAGCCACTTGCTAATAAGAATCTATAAGAAGATAAAATTGTCCCTTTAAAATATTATAGGTATCATCCCTTGGGAGTGGAGGTGAGCATGTAATGGATGCTATTTCTCAGTGTGAACAGTATGCTAAAGAACAAGGAGCACAAGAACGCAATGCTCCATGGAGGCTGTTTTTCAGAAAAGAGATTTTTGCTCCCTGGCATGATCCTACAGAAGATTCTGTAGCAACAAACTTAATCTTCCAGCAAGTTGTTCGAGGAGTAAAGTTTGGAGAGTACCGCTGTGATAAGGTGATTTAGTGCATCTCATACATTTGTGCAGTTTCGTAGATTCCTTTTTTCATTCCTAAAGTTCACATTTTGGAGTAACAGCTAAATATGCGTTCTTGCTTAGTTTAATGTTTTTTTTAACACCAAAATAGTAGAATTCATAAAGTTGGTATTATTACTATTAGCACAATTGTGAGAGAGAAAATTTTTATTATTAATTGGCTACCTTATTTAAAAAGGCTTATAGTTAGTGAGTTGTAAGTGAAGATTTCATTACCAAATAACAATGTTAAATAAATGACTGTGGTTTAAGTATTTTTTTATGATACAGGAAGAATAGAGATTATAAATAACAGCATTTTATTACTTAACAGGAAGAAGATTTGGCCATGATTGCAGCTCAGCAATATTATATAGAGCATGGAGTAGAGCTTGTAATGGACCATCTTGGAGCCTTGTTACCAAACTGTATACCAGATTATTGTCTTCAAGCTAGTGAGAAATCCATAGAAAAATGGGCAGGGTTGATTGTGGCAGCTTACAAAAAGGTGAGAATAATGTAACAGATATGTGTCACCATCTGCAAAATTATGTATTTTCTAATTTCCAAAAACACTATCTTAAAAAATTAAGTTCATGTGAATATTTTACAAACTACTCAAAGATGTGAAGTTTTGTATCTTAAAAGCAGATAAATATGTGGTTGTAAGCTGACTGGAACTGGGTATTTTTTGTAAACTGTTTGAGAAATTTATTTTACAGAAATAGAATGTCCTGATGCATATGCAAATTGAGATAGAAATTATCTAAACTTTATGTTAATAATCTCCTAAAATCAGGGCTTCTTGTAGTATCCCCAATTTTTAATTTTAGTAAAAAAAGTAACTGAAGACATTATTACAGTCGAATCAATTTACAGAAATATATGTTACTAAATGTTTGTTGGTGAATTTGTCTTTGCTTGTAATTTTAGAACTGGTTTTTATTTTGATCATTAACCAAGTACATTAATAAATCATTAACTTTTTTTCAGATCTATAAATCTTAATTTTTTTTTTTAGTTTAGGTTTTATAGACAGTTGTTAGTGTGAATACCAGACAATGATCCTGATTAATTTTCTTGGTGTATTTCTAGCTGATGTAGTTTTTATAAGATGCTATATAAACTCGCACTATTTCAAATTTGACAAATGATTTGTTGTATTCAAAGTTTGGCTCATACCATTATAAGGATAATAGTCCTATGCTGAAATACTGATTTAAATACATTATTTATAACATTTGTATAAACAAGTATAATGTCCTGAATATTCTAATTATTGTTAGTTTAAAAAAAATCCTTAGTGCTTTGTTGAAATTTGGTTCATAACCAAACTAAACTCTGCATTCAATCAGTATTTTGACATTTTAAATTTGATGACCAAGAAAAGGAGATTCTAAATAGATTGTACACACACAGCTAATGTTTGTTCTGCTACTTTTTAGTTAAATTTTTCATAACATTTGTCTCTAATTAGTTTTTCTTTCTGATATTGTTTCTGATGTTGGAAATTCATTGTATATTGATAAACTTAGTATGCTATTTTTGAGCTTTGAAATTCCTTCTTTAAAATATTCAGCTCCAAATGGATCAGACAAAGTGTCTATGCTAGAACTTTTTTGTTTGATGCTAATCTGTTGTTATATAATTACATGAAACATTTTTTTTAACATGTGTCATATTGCTTGGAGAAATCATACCTAATGAAAGAGTAATGTTGCAATTAACCTCTTTTTTTCTTATATTATAGTGAACCTTTTACAGTCTAGCCTTAATTATCAGTTTATTGCAATTCAATATCAAAATTTTTTTGGGTGGAGGGGGGTGACTGACTACATTTTCATATTACTTAAGAGCTATTCACTATTAAACTACAACCTGAATTTGTAAGGAAGGACCATCTTATTAGTATCTATGGATGTTTTACTGTATCCTAATGACACCTACTTACTTTTGACTAACTATAGATGTAATTTCTGGAAAAGACAGTTCCAACAGCACTTGTTCTTGGTCATCAACAACATAAACACCCGTCCAATTGATAGCTATAATGACATCATTCTTTGGAAGATGTGGTCCTGAGGCACGTAAAGCTTCATAGAAACGTGAAAACAGTAGAGGCCATTTAAACTTTGCATAGTCTACGATGTCTTCTTTAACTCTCAGAGGTGGAACTCGTTCTCGATAATAATAACTCTGGGCAAAAAAAGTTAGTAAGTACTTTTGGAATCAACAAATATTTAGATGATTGTGAAATTTAATTTACATATGCATTAGAGTTTATCACTTCCACAAGAACAAGTAATGGAATTTAACTAATGTTATACTGCTTACATTACAAATTTATTAAATCAAATTGATATACTTATTAACTTGTTAATACTTTACTTTGTAGCAAACTCTTGTTCTATTTGGAAATTTGTAGTGACTCAAAGCATGATATGCAACACACTATACTAAATGTGTATGTTTTCCAACTGATATTCAGGTTTTTATAAAACTTGTTTTTACCTAAATTTTCCCAGAGGTAATCGACCATTTGTTCAGACTTTCACCCTTAGTACCATTAGAGGTGAGGACTTTACTTTCCAATCCCCCAACTCCGATGATATTCATGAGTTAATTGAATTTTTCCTGAGTGGCTTAAAGGCACGGTCACGATTTGTTATAGCCATTCAAGATTATACAGGTAAGTTGAGTTTTTAGACATTTTTGTCATTCAGAAAATCTGTGTAACTTAGTGAAACTTTGTATACATTTCTTGTCTCTGTTATTAGAAAATAAGTAGTTAAAAGGGTTGTTATTTGTTTGGGATGAGGATATTTCATTCACATACATTATTTTTAATATCTCACATTATTTTTATAATTAAAGTTTTCTTGAAAGTTGATGAAGTTTTTTTTGGTTCAACACAATATTTTTTAATTTGTATCATTCATCTTCCAGGTAGTGAATAAAACATTTTAATACACTATGTTTGAAAATATTATGCATAATTTTTTTTTTCATAAAGACAAACTGACATTATAAAATTACTTAAGTTCATAACACATTTGCTTTGATCAGTGGTTGGTCATTGTCATGTGGTTAGAATGTCTTTACATCCAAAGGGTGTCTAGGAGTTGTACTTTATCCTTTTTTTAGTCTTTAAACTTCTCAAATACATATATTTCTGAATTTCTAAATACTTATAAATTAATTTATTGTTTGTTAATATTTTATACTTTATTAGGGTTTTAACCAAATTTATATAAATTGGTGTGAACCCAACTAGCTTTGTGTTTTAATTTAACTGGTGGTAGGTAATTTTTGTTCTTATTGTATTTCATTTAACTGTGGTTGACATTAGATTTAATATTATCTGAAAGTACCATTCCTTAATTCCAACTTGATTGAACTCTGGATCTGGCAATATACATATTGTTTTGTGATGTATTAATACTTGTTATTAAACTAACTGGTTAATGGTGTATTGATGAGGTGTTGTCTCTAACTTTAATTAAAATAACAGTAGTAAAGTTCAGCTTGTATTACTGTTGTGTATCTAAAAGTATAATGTGTGTGATTGAGTAAGATACATTAGGTTTTCACTTGTAAAATCCTAAATTCAGTATCTAATTTCACACTTCTTGAATGCTTACTCAGTTCCTGGCTCTTGAAATTTTAGGGCATGTTTTCATATGGTGATAACTTTCTTCATGGAGAAAAATAACACTGGCCTACAAATTTAAACTTCATTAAAGTTGTTTTGGTTTTAATAATGGATTTTCCATAATTCAGCTACACAGATTTCAAAAATAATATTCATTTTTTTTTCTATCACGAAAGGATTTTTTTACAAATCGGGAATAAAAAAAAACTCTTACTTAGATCAAGTTATTATATCGTTTACCTCGATGAACATTTTTTATTATTATGTATTTGTTAACAAAAATACAAACAAACTGAAAAAAAGGGAAGAACATTGATGTCAAACGAATATGCATCCTCATTCATCTTGAGTATTTTTTTGTTTGAAATCTATGTATTTTAGTCTCAAAACTACGTGTTGTGGTCTTTCTTTTATGTATTGCATCTGGATTATCTTGTTTTAATGACCAGCATTAATCAGCCATCATGCTGATGTGTCCACCTTCCCTGATACCTCTTCTCCATTTCCCTGATGTCTTGATGAAACCTTTCCTCTTGTTCTTTGCTGACGGCACCGAGATTTTCAGGGAAATAGTCAATATGTGAGTGTAAGAAATGAACTTTCAAACTCATATTACAACCCAACTCTTTGAATTTATTGAGCATGTTATTGACAATATTTTTGTAATTTGTGTCCTTGTTGTTTCCTAAAAAGTTTTCAATAACATCTTTAAAGGCAATCCATGCATCTTTTTCAACTTTCCTCATTGTCCTTTCAAACAGTTCATCCAAAGTCAATTTCCTAATCAGAGGTCCAACAAAAATCCTTTCTTTTAAGTTTTTCTTCTGAAAGAGCTGGGAATTGCCCACATAAATACTTGAAACAGTCACTATCTTTGTCTAAGGCCTTTACAAACTGCTTCAACAAGACCAGTTGTATGTGAAGGGTAGGTAATAGGACATTCTTTGTATCAGCCAAACTTTCACATTCAATGTTTTATGATCCTAGTATCAGGCTGACTCTGCATGACAATTACTTCTTTATCCAATGCTGATTTCATGCTCTGCTGTACCATTCACACAGAAAACAAGAAAATTTTGTATAACCAGATTGTTGACCCAACAACATGCAAAGGATTTTTAAGTCTCCACAAAGTAGCCAACCATGTTCTTTGCATTTGACCTTATTAAGAAGTTCAAGATTTTTGTACATTTCCTTCAAGTGAACCGAAGGACCAATAGGAACAGATACATATATGTTACCTTTGTGAAGGAGAACACCTTTTAAACTTTGTTTAGAGGAATCAATGAACAACTGCCACTCACTTGGTTCATAGACTGCAGCTCCTAGCATTGGTATTAATTCAGTAATATTGTTGAAATAAACCAGTGAGCCTTCTTGTGAAAAGTATGGTATAAACTCTTTCTTACCATTTTTGTACCAGTAAAATGATGTCCCTGGAGAAAGCAAGT